AGAAGCGGAAACACACATTTGCTCCTCGCCCAGGCACCTCAAATACCTCCAATGCTCATTTTTTATTCCAACGACGGGGCGGCCAGTCTCAGGGCCAACCCCGGGGAATATTTCAGCACCGGAGACGAACAGACACATTCAGGACAGGGGGGAAATCTGTGACACAGAAATAAACCCCACCAATCAAAGTGTAAGTACTAATTATAGTAAGCAAAATTTGCCAAGTTCTCTACCTCAGACAAAGGGGGGCTGTTCAGTTGCAGGCCGCATACAACATTTCGTAGAGAAATGGAAAGAGCTTACTAGTGATCCTGTAATTCTCTCTGCTGTTACTGGGTATCTAATAGAGTTTATGGTCAACCCGGTACAGCTTGTAATACCTAAACCTATTAAAATGAGCACACAAGAAACCGAACAGGTTGATTCGCAAATACACAAATTCCTAAAAAAGGGCATTATCATTGAAAGCTCTCATGAACAGGGGGAATTCATATCTAATATCTTTCTTCGACCAAAGAAAGATGGGTCGTTTCGAATGATATTGAACCTTAGAGAGCTTAACAAATTTGTGATGCATCACCATTTTAAAATGGAGTCCATCCATACATGCACCCAACTCATGCGTCCTGGGTGTTACATGGCATCTATCGACCTGAAGGATGCTTATTACTTAGTACATGTTGCTAAGCAACATAAAAAATTCCTCAAGTTTACATGGAAGGGGAGACTATATCAATTCACCTGTTTGGCCCAAGGATTGTCATCAGCCCCACGCCTGTTTACAAAGCTTATGAAACCTGTTTTCTCCCATCTTAGGGGGAAGGGGCACATTTCAAGTGGTTACATTGATGATTCCTTCTTAGTAGGGTATTCTAATTCAGAATGTCAGCTGAATGTCGATGACACCTTGCAGTGTTTTCATGAATTGGGATTCCTAACCCATGATGATAAATCCGTGATCACACCAACACAAATCATTCAACACCTAGGGTTTGTGTTGAATTCAATTGAGATGACAATATCTATTTCGGAAGAAAAACACAATAAACTATGTGGGGTTATTATTTCTGTTCTTAAACAAAACATGTCTAGTATAAGAGCGGTGGCACAGATGATTGGCATGATGGTAGCATGCTGCCCAGGGGTGGAATATGGGCCATTGTTTTATCGTCAAATTGATAGGGAAAAGACAGCTGCACTTAAAGTAAACCAAGGCGACTTTGATAAGCACATGACCCTCTCCCCTAAAGCACACCAAGATATGTTATGGTGGGTAGAAAATGCACGCTTTGTTCACAAAGCGGCTGAATCATGGGAAAATTGTCCATGTGCTTTACACTGATGCCTCCACCAAAGGATGGGGGGCTAACATGGCTAATGTAACTACAGGGGGTGAATGGTCTACAGTAGAGAAAGGCCACCATATAAATTACCTAGAATTACGAGCTGTTCTGTTTGGTCTGCAATCACTTTGTAGGGAAATATCAAATGCCCATGTCAAAGTCATGACAGATAATACAACTGCTGTTGCCTACATTAACAATATGGGGGGCTCTCGCTCTTTTTTATGCAATGACATGGCCAGAGAAGTATGGGCATGGTGCATGACCAGGAATATTTGGCTCACTGCCAGCCATATTCCTGGGAAACTTAATGTTGTTGCCGACAAGGCCTCCAGGGTGTTTGATGATTCTACAGAATGGAAACTGGATGCTAACATATTTCCAAAGCTAACAGCACACTTTGGTACCCCTGAAGTGGACATGTTTGCTTCCAGACTTAACTACCAAATGACACCATTTGTTTCATGGCATCCTGACCCTCAAGCATGGGCTATTGATGCCTTTACTTTGGACTGGAATAATATATTATTTTATGCCTTTCCACCTTTCAGCATTATACCACATTTCACATTCCAAGTATTGCAAACACTGGATACAGCTCAGACACAAGCAATCCTAATTGTGCCAAATTGGCCACCCGAGCCATGGTACCCTATGTTGACAAGGTTGTTGATCCAACAACCAATCCTTCTACCAAAACACAAGAGCAATGTGTCTCTTCCTTTCAAGCAAGAAAAAGAACACCCGCTGGGGAAACAACTGAAGCTGATGGCCTGTCTCTTATCCGGCGATCCCTGTCAAGTAAGGGCATTTCATCAAAAGCTCAAGCAACAACACTCAACTCCTGGCGGTCTGGAACACAAAAACAATACCAAGTCTTTCTCAACAAGTGGCAGTCATTTGCTAATCAGTGGAATGCAGATCTCCTTCATCCAACTCTGATTGAGGTGCTGGAGTTCCTACAGGCACTTTTTGACCAGGGGTTTAGCTATAGTGGCATAAATACTGCACGGAGTACATTGTCATCATTTGTGGTCTGGGAGGGAAACTTATCTGTTGGTACACACCCAATAATACAAAGATTCATGAAAGGAGTTTTTCAGGCTAGACCTGCACTACCCCGATATCGGAACACATGGGATACTTCAATTGTACTATCGTATCTCAAAACACTTCATCCAGTAGAGGAACTCACTTTACAGCAGCTTACTCATAAACTAGTTATGCTCTGTGCCTTAGTTACGGGGCAGAGATCACAAACCCTCCACCTTATGGACCTTTCAACCCTTTGCAAGAACAATGATTCCTATGTTTTTCACATTGATAAACTAGTGAAACAGTCGGCACCGACTCGGGACCAACCTTCTCTCGTAATCCCAAGATTTCCATCTGACCACAGCTTGTGTGTAGCTTCAACTCTTGAGGAATATATTAAGCGTACAGCGCCCCTTCGGAACAATGAAACCCAACTGTTCATTAGTTCGATTCGACCGCACAAGAAAGTGTCAAAAGCTTCTATCTCTCGTTGGATAAAGATTGTCATGAAAGCTGCAGGGATTGACACAAGTGTCTTCAAACCTCATAGTACACGAGCAGCATCAACCAGTAAGGCTGCCAGCTGTGATGTTCCGATAAATTCAATCCTCAAGGCTGCAAGTTGGAAAAGTGATTGTGTATTTCATCGCTTCTATAATAAAGACATCGAATCTCACCGAGAATATACAGATTTTGGGAATGCTATACTATCGGATGCCACGTAAGGACAAGACACTAGAAGTTTAGCACTATTTGGTTCCTGTTTTGTTAATTTTCAAACTCGAGGATTCTAGCAACAGAAGAATGTAAAGCAACTGTTTTGGTTCATATTACATCTATATACTTGAAGTATATATGTATTAGTGTTGTAATATGCAAATATTAGCTATGCATACTGCTGAAGTACTTATTTAGTGCCCACATGGATTTAAAATCTCGTGGAATCTCTGCGGTAGATGTTGATAGAATTAGAAAATTAAACGAGACTTACCTGGAAGTTGAAGTTTGATTGGAATTCTATCAACCATCTACAAAGCAGAGATTACACGCCCTCCCATTATTCCATCACCTCCCTGCATATAGTGTATATGCACATTCACAGGTTCTCATGTGGCCACTAATCACTTTAAAATATGACCAGCTGTGCGCATGCGTAGTATCTCGTGTAATCTCTGCTTTGTAGATGGTTGATAGAATTCCAATCAAACTTCAACTTCCAGGTAAGTCTCGTTTAATTTTCTAATTAAAAAGGGAAGGGTTTTTGTTAGTTTTGGTTTAAATTGTGTTTCTTTATTATATAAATTTATTCATCTATCATCTATAGTCTAAAGGCGGTTTTCCAGTCCTCGCACGAAGCTCCTCGCAGCTCGCTGTGAGTGCTTGCATCTAATTAAAACGAACTGTTTAGCACTGTGATTGGATGAAAGTGCTCAGGCATCACTCGCAGCGAGCTGCGAGCAGCTTCGTGCGAGGACTGGAAATCCGCCTTAATGGGTGTTTTGTTTGACACTTGCCATTCCTCGGCAGTTAGGATCCAGTGACTGGAAATTTCCATTGTTTTTTCATTGTTTTGAAAATCTCACTGTTCTCCATATCATCCAATCATGATCCAGTGATAGGAATGTTTCATTGTCTTTTCATTGTTTTGAAAATCGCACTGCTCTCCATGTCATCCAGTCATGCAGATCGAGTGATAGGAATGTTTCATTGTCTTTTCATTGTTTTGAAAATCTCACTGTTCTCCATATCATCCGGTCCAGTCATGATCCAGAGATAGGAATGTTTCATTGTCTTTTCATTGTTTTGAAAATCTCACTGTTCTCAATATCATCCAGTCATGATCCAGTGATAGGAATGTTTCATTGTCTTTACATTGTTTTAAAAATCTCACTGTTCTCCATATCATCCAGTCATGATCCAGTGATAGGAATGTTTCATTGTCTTTTCATTGTTTTGATCCAGAATGTTCTAATGTCTTTTCATTGCTTGCAAAATTCCAGTGTTCATGTAACCATAACTTACTTTAACAGTGTACTTTCTGTTAAAAATCTACATGTTTGTGATTAGGTGGAAAATGTTTGTCAATTACAACAATTAGGCTGAGGAAATTGTGCCCTATGCTGGTTTTGACACTCTTACTGAATGGAGGGTTAAACTGAATGATATTGCGTTGCCTGTTTCTGCATGCGTGGCTGTTGTGATGTTTTCTCAGTGTAACCTAGGTCGTGGTTGAAATTGCTGTGTCTTAGTGGATGTTGGTAAATAGGTGTTTTTTCCTGAAATGTTTGCTCGTCTGACGAGAGAAGTGAAATGTGCTTGTTTATGGAGGTATATAGGTAGCTGTTTGTGGAAGCTTATTGGATGGTTTGAATGTCTTGTTTATGTATAATGATTAATGAATCGTCATTGGGTTTCCTATAAGGTTTGTATTTTCCATTGCTGAGTTCAAAAGTGACATCTAAGTCTAAGAAGTTTCACTACGCGTAAATTTGGCTCTACTGTAATTTTTAAGTTAAACTAGCGAAAGTGTTGTGGAGTTCTTTTCTCATTCTATCTGCCAAACGTGCTGATCGTGGTTTATTTTTTACGACAGTAATTCCATCGTCTCTACGCAGGCCGATGTTTATGTACTATTTAAAAGCAAGCAGGAGTGTTTTATTAGGTTTAAAGTCACGAGCGCGCAGCACGAGTGGCTTTAGACCTAAAAAGCACGACCTGCGACTTTTTTAAATGGCTTCAAAAACGTTTGCATAATAAGTCATAATAAGTCAAATCTTTATATAAAAATCTTTATATAAAAATCTTTATATAGTTTGCATAACAATGGTCTTTTGTTAAAGGTGATCTATAGCCCGTATGTAAACAAAGCCTTAATTTGTTTACATTTTTGCGTCCAAAATATTGAGCTATAATAAATATAGCTATAGAGTATAATAAATGATCAAGAAACAACAATCAGGCTTTGCAAGAACCCAAAACATAGTTAAACTGTTTGTATCATAAAAAGTGGGATCCTTTGTGCACATGCGCAGATCGGACTGTAGATCGCCTTTAAAGTGTTCTTTAGCTGGTATAAAGACGTATGCACGTGACTAATTTCTTACTCAAGATTGGATAATTGCTTCATGAATTATTAATGAGTTTTTGAAATATACATATACATATACATATACAATACATATACACACACACACACACACACACACACACACACACACACACACACACACACACACACACACACACACACACACACACACACATATATATATATATATATATATATATATATATATATATATATATATATATATATATATATATATATTTATATTATAGTCATTCACCGTATATGAGCTGTTCTGCAATCTGATTGGTTGAATTACTCGCCGTATATCAGCTCATATAAGGCGAGTAGCGAAAAACAAGATGGCGGTCCAAAAACTACATGAGTTTTGCGAAGCAGAAAAAAGGAAAATATAGGCTTTTACATATGATATATATATCATATGTAAAAAATATGTCATCATATGTAAAAAATATATGACTAAAACTTGATGAAAAGAACAAATCGGCCCGGCCCTACATGCGTTATCACCCAAAAGCGTGGACAAAAACTGTAATTATGAGCTTAGAGATAAAACCGAAGAAGTTTTCCTGTATCAAGATTTTAAGTTGTAGAACTAGAAAGACAGAAAATTAACATTTCAATATAGTCCTTCTCCTTTAAAGTCTAATATTTTCACTATTTTCATTGCAAATATAAATTTAGATTTTATATAGATTATTTAAAATAATTATCCAACTCATAATTATTACTTTATATTTAGATTTGTCCCTACCTTCAAATTCCTTGTCTGAATAACCTCCAAATATATACTGCCCTACTTTAACAATGGTGACAGTCCATGTCCTATTTCCACATGCACCGTGGAAGTTGAACGCTGACCATCCATCCTTACTGGCTCGATAACAGAGCTTCCATTTGGAATAGACTGTAGTTTGAACTGGTTTAAGGAAATTTAGCAGACTTTCTCTATACTCTTTGTGGCCTTTAAGAATCATCGAGCCTTCTCTGTGTAAAATATCTCCTATACCTGCAACAATGAATAATTTCAATTGTATACTAATACTGAACTAAGTCACTAACTTTATGTACGTTCGATTGTTCTATCAGTTCTAAATCGATCTCGCTCGGGGTCATGTGAGGAACAACTCTTGTTGACCCAGGAAACCTAAACTAAACTACATGTAACTTTATTTATACTGGAAAGACTCTATCAGTCTAAACTTGTTTTTTCTGCATGGATGTCCAGTAAAGATCGTCTCATATTGTTCCAGTGTTATTACTACTGAAGGAAACCTAAACTATTAAACAAACTTTATTTATACTAGATAGTTCTGGCTATAGCTGTTCTCCTTAGAGGACCAGTAACGATCACCCCATATGGATCCAATGTATGTTACTTACTATACATGAGGAACCTTAATAACTAAATAAACGATACTGGATAGCTTTCTATCAGTCTAAACTTTTTTTTCTGGAGGTCCAGTAAAGGTTATCCTTTATTGATCCAAAGTTACTGCAGGACGAAACTTATACAAAAGTAACTCTATTTATACACACTGGAAACCAGAATTACCTGCAGTGGCGTAACGGGGAAAGAGGGGGCCCTTAGACATATTTGGTTTGGGGGCCCCTCTTGACTGTTGTCATTGTTTGACTGAGATATTATATTTATATTGAATATTTATAGAATGTTCAGGAAAATTCCATGTCTATAATCATAACAATATAACAGTCTCCAACACATGCATGTAACAACTAATAGGAATAACTTTTGTTTTATTTTATTAGTTATTTTCATTGGTTTTATTTAAAAAAACAGCTCGACCGTTGTTGATGGAGGTTTAATTCTTTGGCACTATTAATGTTGCATTTTCCCATTGATTCCTGCATTTGTTACCTTTTCTAATTTTCTAGGCGATAGGCCGTAGCTGATGGCCGTGTTGTTCATAACATGTACGAACCACGTGTTGTTCACAACATGCACTAACCACAGTGACAATCTACTCACAGTATGTTGTTCTTCCTGTCCAGGTTCCATTTCGCTGGCACACACGGATCTCCGGACCAATCATTTGCGTTTTTTGGTCACATGAGAATATCATGACGTCATTGCTGTCTTCGTTCAAGTTGATTGCGTGACCATTAACTGGGTGTACAAGGCCTGGACATTGAATGAGATCTGAGAAAGATGAACAAGTGAATATTGTTGATATATTCCTGGCTTCAGTCCGTGTTACCAGGTAGCACAAATGTTGACAGTTAAGGTTCTTTCCACTGATTGCGAAAACTAACCCGCAAGCTTGCTGTGAGTGCTTGCATCTAATTGCTTGCATCTAAAGTGTCGAGTATTGTGATTGGATGAAAATATTTGCAGCAAGCCTGTGAGTTGGTTTTTGGGATGAGTGGAAAAGAACATTTATAGAACCACGACAGTTTACAACATTCACTCACATAGTTCAAGAACAGTAACCACTTTGCTTCCCAGAGCATTTTCCGCAGTGCAAGTATAGTTTCCCTCGTCAGAAACGTCGAACGACTTTATCATTAATTCAACGCGTGTTTCTTGCGTGATAGGCAGTTTCTCATGACGTTTAGTCCATGTGATGGTCGGCACAGGATCCCCAATTGCAATACAATTAACTGTAACTTTTTGGTGCCGAAATACACCTTTTGAGATTGGAGGTTTTTCTCTGAATGTCGGTCCAACTAGAACGCGAAAGGAATAATTAGATTTGCAATTTAAAGTATCTGGATATGTTAATTTCCAAAACTCGTTCATATAATTTATGAAGAATTAGATTAAAAATAAATCAATGTTTAATGAGATGTTGCATTCACATATACACCCTCTTCTGTTTATTTTCAACCAGAACAATCGTTTACCTTCACTCCTCACTTTCACAAAAACTGCGGTAAAAGTCGATCCAAACATGTTCTTTCCTTCACATAGATATATCCCTTCATGTTCCTTCTTTACACGCTTAATATTGAGCGTATTGTTGACCATAGCAACATCCCCATTCGATATCGTATAGCCAGGCTTGATCCATCTTATTTTTGCTGCGGGATATGAGTCTACTGGACATTGTAAATTAACTGCGTTTCCTTTGTAAACGATTGTTTCCCGCGAACTAAGTCGCCTTGGTGGTACTGGAGATATTAACATAGAGAGCGTTAAAAGTTAGAACTAAACTAACTTTACTTATACGGCATTGCTCTATCAGTTCTAACTTTTCCCCTTAGAGTAACAGTATATTCCTTTTTGATCCAGTGTTACTACAGGAGGAAACCTAAACTATACTAACTTTATTTGTGTTGGATAGCTCTATCTTATAAATCTTACCTTTAAAGATAATTTTCACATCAAAACTAGCCATTCCCACTGAATTCCTTGCAAGGCACTTATACTTTCCTTTTTTGTTATAGGTAATCTTGGTGAAATGAAGTCTCGTTCCTTTTCCACGTTCTGGAAACAGCTGAGTCTCAAGGAGAGAGGCGTTGTCTTTCTGCCAGCTTACTGAGGGCAGAGGGTAGCCGATTTGCAATACAGTTTAAGGTAAGGTTGACGCCTTCGTTGATGAATATGATTTTGGGAGGGTGAGTCGTTATCTTTGGTGGAGCTATAAAAGGAAAGAGAAAGGTGAATGAACATATTTTCAATTGTGGAACACCCTGCATCGTGTTGTACAAACAATCAAACAAACAAACAAACATACCTGCATACATATACACGTCCTAAGAAACAGAGTAACAAACAAAAACCAACCCTTACCTTCTTTCGATTTCATGATATCACCAGCATCACCTTTTATCCCACGTGGTCCAGGTGCACCTCTATCACCTTTAGTACCATTATACCCCCTCCCGCCACGTGGACCTTGAGAACCTCTCTTGCCTCGTATCCCTTGCGACCCCTTGGATCCTGGAGGCCCTGAAACAATTGACCACTTCCGAATTACGTTCTGGTTGTCAAGGACAGTAACTCCAAGTCGAGGCTTAGTATTAATTATTTATTTATTTATTTATTTATTAGTTTTGCCATATTACAATACACAAAACTATAACAAGAACAAGAATAATATACATGACTATAGGAAGGGTGACCACAACAGCGTGAGCCAATTACTGCGGGCCCGAATTAGGACATACAAACATAAAAAAAAAATTATCTAAATAAAACTATAACTAATAGCAGCACTTAAGAGGCTGAACCAGAGTTCGAGCGGTATTACACTTGGTACATATAGTTTTGAATGTTCTTGGATTTTCAGGATCGTAGGAAATTTCCAAAGCACGGAAGTAGCTCAAATTTATCATGTTAAGTTTCAGATCGTCCGCTAGGCTGATCCACACCCTGGTTGTTCGAATTAGAAACGAGCGTTGATGCGTCGTTGTTTTGCTTCTGGGAATGACAAACTTAGGTATGTCCGTGTTTATAGACGATCTGGAGCTTCGGGTTTTTGGTACTACAGAAGGTTCTATATTATTACCAGATTGTTCACCATTTTAAAGAAAAAAAACAAATCCAAAAAATCATGCCAGTAACAACATAATGGAAGTAATGATAAAGACTGTAATCTCGAGGTTTAACTACCGGGACTGGAAAACGGTAGATTGAGAGTAAATTTCGTGGCACGTCTTTGAACTTTTTCCAATCTTGCAATTAGGTTGATGGACTGTGGAGACCAGATCTGGGTGGCATATCCTAAGTGAGGACGTACTAATATTAAATACAATACCCTCCTCACGCTGGTGTTTTGAATGAACCGTGCGTTCCGTCTGATATAACTTGGCCTAGCAACTTGTTAGCACGGGAAGATTGTTTTACTACTTGATTATTCAGGCTTTCTTGCCATCCTACTTTTCCTACTTTTTCCTACTTTTCTACAACTTTCCTACTTTTCCTATTTTTTATTAAAAATTGCTTGATTTTTCTACTTTTTCCTACTTTTTCTCATAAAATCCTAGAATCAAAATCAATAAATTAATGAAGACTCTGAAAGAGCCATTTCCGACGATCTAGAGATTTCAACTGGCTGCAGCCCCCCCAATAATTTGCTAATAATAATTTTTTTTCAAAATCATGCAGACCTTTATTATTTAGTCCATGACAAACTGCAAAGAATGAAGATATTACCCATACTTTTCTGCAACTTATCTAATATATAGTTAATTAAATACGTCTTCGCCCATTTAGTACTACTAAACTGTAAATTTCGACATACTAAAACGCTATTTTCTGACCATTAGAATTCTGTCAAATCTTCCCCAAAGTCCAGGAAATGGCATTTCAGAGACTCTAAATTTAAAAATTTCCTTGGGCCTTCGGCGGCCCTCGCTTACAGCCCCCCCCAATCGAAAAGAGCTTCCTACGGCCCTGATATATGCTCCTGTTACAGTGTGGATTGGTGCATTGTGTAGCACAATACATGCATTTGAATAGTGTTGCTGCAGAGCAGATGCCTTAGCTTTTATACCTATACAATTTAAAAGTTTTGAGAAAAAAATCCTGCATAGATGAATGAGTACATAAAAATATTGAGCACCAAAAATTCACACAACTTCTCCATCAGATATCTAATGGTCTACCCCTTACCACATATATCCGAGGGGGCCAATTTTGTATATTTTTGTGTTATTGGCATCTCCAAAACTCCTACTTTTGTCCTACTTTTCTACACATTTTCCTACTTTATTCCTACTTTTCCTAAAATTCTAGTCCTACTTTTGTCCTATTTTTCTACACAAGGATGCCAGAAAGCCTGGATTATTCCAAGTGAGATCAGTTGACATCCAGTCGCCAAGATCTCGTTCCGATTTTGTTATTTCTAGAGTTTCACCCTTCATCTTGTATGTAGTCACCACTGGCTTCGATTTACGAGTGATAGACAGCGACCGACATTTACTTTAATTGAAGGGGAGACCGGAAGTCGAAGACCAGGATTCTAAGTTGGATAAGTCCTGTTGGAGTAATCAGTTCGTATCGTTTAGTGATGCGATAGACTTAAATATTTTCGTATCATCTGCGAACATAGCGACTTGACTGGATTTGACGAGACCGGGTAGGTCATGAACATATAAGAGGAATAATATGGGACCTAGTACGGAGCCTTGAGGTACCCCAGAGGTTACAGGTAAGGTGTTAGATGTAGCACCGAGGGCGGTAACGCGCTGTCGCCGATTAGACAAGTAGGACCGGAACCATTGTAGTAGCCCACCTCAAAATCCAAGCTTGCTAAGTTTGGAAGCAGTAGCTCATGATTAACTTTATCGAAGGCTTTAGACATGTCTAAATAGATCACGTCTATTTGATTACCACTATCCAGGAAGGAGCCGATGTGGGAACGAGGTTGTGTTATCTAGTGAGTGCTTCGATAAGGTTGGTTGTACATGACTTTCCCGTGAAAAACCCATGTTGACTATTGTGGACTAGCTGGTGGAGATGGCATTTAATGTTGTTAAGTACGCATCGTTCTAAAACTTTGGACACTATGGGTAGTAAATATATAGGTCTATAATTCTCTGTGTATTCAGCGTTGCCTTTCTTGTGTATTGGTACAACATTTGCAAGTTTCCACTCGTCAGGTAAGGTGCCTGTGTTGAGAGATTTGTTGAAGAAGCAGCACAAGGATGGAGCTATGACTTCGGCTGTTTCCTTTAGCAGTCTAGCGGGGATTCCATCTGAGCCTGTTGCTTTTGTAACATCCAGCGCTTCAAGGACAGCTTGAATTTCGTACACAGTTAGATTTACATTAGTTATATTCGGGGTATCATCTGGCTTACAAGCATAGTGAGGTGAACAGTCACTGGTGAATACAGATGTAAAGTACCTATTAAACAAGTTAACAATTTCGGCAGGATTATCAGCAGCAGTTCTTGACGGCGGGTCCACAATATCGGAGGCTGTTTTCATGGAAATCTTGTTTGGTATATTATGAGACTTAGATTTATGTTTAATTAATTGTTAATTTGTTAATTGTTAATTTTTTAATTGGTTTTGTTAATTTGCCATAAAGATAATACAATTTAGCGTGGAGCATCATTCGCACGCGATTGTCTGAAATGGTCAATTAAATTGACATCGTTTTCGTCCAGTACTAAATTTACGCAATTTTAATTCCATGCACCTTGAAACGATACAAAGATAGAAAATCACTCTAAAATTATAATTGTTTAAAATTACATCGAATTTTGGAAATGTTCACAAAAGTGATTGCAAAAACTCGTAAGCAATCTGATTATCCAAAGTCCAGATAATCCCAGTAAAAATCCAAACTCACAGTTCATAATAATGCACTTACCTGGCAGACAAACAACGCTTTTTGGAAAGTTGTTATCAGTCTTGTTTGGAGTCTGTAATGACATAGTACAGCTGATCTCAATGCATTGAATATCATCAGATCAATTTACGTTAACCTGTATTCCAAAATATGCACTGCCTCTGAATGATTTAACCATGCTGAGTATGATGCTACAGAAGACACCAAAACATCGAAAAAAAGCTTAACAATGAGTCTCTCATATGCGAAAGGAATTTTTTGGAAAACATTTAAAATTGGATGAGTTATTAAGAGTAACGGTTTTCAAATTTTAAAAAGACGAATGAATTCTGCGACCTAGGCTATATGCACGCGTTCAAGGGGTTATGAACAGCGCGTATTTCAACCGGTTTTTTTCAAAATTTATTGTGGCATAGCTTAGCTACAAAAGCTATGCCTTTATTGCGCAATGACATATACCTGGAAAGAACCACATCCAGCTTGTCAATGCTCAAAACAATCGAAAATCCCAGACACACTTTCTTAATTAGATCAATCATCAAGAACAAGTAGACAATATAATATAACTTTTTGTTTGTGGAAACACCACGTAAATTTAATAATAATTTATTACTGCAGTAATAAATTTACTTGGTGTATCCACAACAAAAAGTATTTTAAGTAGACAAAAGTAGACAGAAAATTTCAGCAAACCCAGAACGGACCGTCATAAGATTGAAATTGAGCGCGCACTATAATCTATATCATATTTCCTAAACAACCCCGTAGGGTGTTCTTTAACCTACTTATAACTCGGAAAGACTTAACTCTATACTCACATGAATTCTGTACATTGAATCAGTTTATACTAACCCACATTCAAAAACGACACCCCAATATATGTAACCTTGAAGTTGATACATACCAAATCACTGGTTATTCCGAGCAATTTCATAAAATCGCGAATCATCATCGCACAAGTTTGATTTCTGGTCTCTTTCAAATCAAGCGCTCTTCTCTCCCTCCTTTCATTTTCTTTGCTTTTCAACTTGTTCAAATCCTGGCCAGCTTTTCTAAAAATGCTTTCATAGTCTGACTGCAATATATCACTTTCGGTTTTGGGCGAATTTTGAAGGTCGCCTGATGACGCGCACGATTCTTTGAGGTGCTTTAATTCATTTTGTGTTTCATGCAAAGAGAAAACGAGATATAAAATTCCCCCAATGCTTAAGGTGGTTAGAAGCAAGTGGAATGAATAAAATACTTTAATACCAGTCGAAAATTGAGACGCTTTTGACATCTTGCGCAAAGATGAAATGCTTGCACAAGCGATTTAGCGTGTGTGCAGTCGTGCTGTGGTATTAGGTTTATAGCTTCAAGTTATTTGTTCGTCCTGACATGTTGATAGATTACATTTGGAGACCCTGTGGGGATTTCGGTGGATTATGGCCGTGTATTAAACTAGAGTTAACCTTTCTATAGGTGAAGGGGCTACTACTAGAAAGCAATACAGCAATACAGCGATACAGGAACCGGAACCTGGAACCGGAAGCTTGGAACCGTGCATACTTTATGAAAATTAGAGCATCTTGCACCACAGGAGATCATAGATATCTTATATACACTAGATAGCGCATCTCTTTAAGTAAAATTGAAGTCAAATATATTCCAGCGGTTACCCCCATTTAAATAGATGGCGGCCACTCGCTAATTAATGCTTAAGAACAACAATAACTTTAATTATTTGAACAGTTTGAAAATATGTTTGGAATAGGTTTAACTTAATGTTTAAGTTCCCTGTTATAGAAAACATATATACGAATCTTCTCATTTCATGGGAATATCCTGAGTCTGCAATCATGGCTTCAATATTTGAATTGCAGAATAATTACATGCACTATCTAAGGTATATAAGATATCTATGCAGGAGATATACATAATAATAATTTACCGGGGGGTGCACAATTCAAAGAATCAGATTGGGCACCCCCTGTAAGTTATTATTATGTATATCTCCTGTGGTGCAAAATGCTGTAATTTGCATAAATTATTCCAGGTTCCAGTTGCTGTATCGCTTTTTAATAGTAGCCAGGTGAAGGATCTTGTAGATGTGAATTATCGAGTGGAAATTTATGTACTATTTAAAACACGAGCGGAAAACAATGCTTTATCAGATATAAAACTAAACGCTGTCTAAGCCAAGAAAATCAAGGCTAAATAAAGTTTATGTAAATGAACATGATTTTTTATCACATATAAAACCACCGAGACGGCAGTGATTTCTTTTGTCTTTCCGCGTGAATTATTAGTGAGTTTTTTAAGTACTATTTAAAGCACGCGTAGGAGTGTTTTATCCAAGGGTGGGTAGTAGCGAAGTATAGTAGTAGTTCGCTACTGTAGCGAACTACAATTTTCAAGTAGCCAGTAGTTTTTGACTACTTTTTTAAAACAGTAGTTGTAGTTATAGCGAACTACATTTTGCCTAAAAGTAGCCAAATAGTTGACTACTTTTCAAACAGCAAATCGCTATTCGCTACTTTTTAAAATTGTTAGCAACCGTTCATAGAATAGAATGATATTAAGACACGGTTTGCTTAAAAGATTATTTTATACAGTAAAGATTATTTTAGGGCAATGAAAATTGGCACTCCTGAACACTGTAGGGCTTACAAAAATGTTACTTTGACCCTTTTTGTTTACTGTTGCTACTCGTAAGTCGATTTGTTATAGGTTATATTACAGCCTGAGTTAGTGGATGCTCAACTATGCTCCAAATACCGTAAGCTAAAAAATATAGAGTAGCGAAATAGCGAAATAGTTCGCTACATTTTTTAAGCAGTAGCTGTAGTCAGTAGCGAACTACCTTTGTTCAAAAGTAGCAGTAGTTGTAGCTGACTACATATGTTTGAAGTAGCTGTAGTTATAGCGAACTACAAAAATTTTGTAGTCAACCCACCCTTGGTTTTATCACATATAAAACACGACGCGTAGCGGAGTGTTTTATATGTGATAAAACACGACTACAAGTGCTTTAAATAGCTTAAAAAACGACTCATCTTATACGAGTTCATTGGCGAAGAAATTTTTAAAATAAACTTTGTCTAAACCAAGAAAATCAAAGCTAAAGTTTATGTAAATTAACGTGATTTTTTATCACATATAAAACCACGACACGCTTATGATTTTTCTTTGTGTTTTGCTCCTGAATTATTAATGAGTTTTTTAAATACATTTCAAACACTAATTAATAATTGATAAGCTTTATTGGCGAATTATGTCAACCATAATACGTCACATGAAGAGGCTTTATACCTGATAAAACTCATCTTCATTAGTATTCTTTATATTAAAGTCCGTCCTAATTTGATAAAACACTCCTATGCGTGTTTTAAATAGTACTTATTAGACCTAACCAGGAACAGCTGCGAAAAATACAACTATTCAATTGAGCGAGATGCCAATAAAATCTTGATATTCACCCATAAGTTATGCGCGCATAAGCTAACGTGGTACCCTTGCGGTTACAGCTGGACAACGTATACTTGCCTCTTTAGCTCAGTTGGGTCATAGCACTGCACCGGAATGATCGCAGAGCCGCAGGTTCGATTCCTGTCAGGGACCTAAAGTTGCATTTTTCGTAGCTGTTTCCGGTTAGGTCTAATAAATGTATAAGAATTTCCACTCGACAATTCCCATCTACGACACCCATGAAATATTATTCAATCGAGTGAGATGCCAACAAAATCTTGAGCGCGTAATCTGGGGCGCGTATTTATTTTTTAATTGATATTCGAGTTTGGCTATAAGTTTTGTTTTGTCTTTTTAATGGTTGGAACAGCAAAATTTTTATCACGAAAGACATTTCTCTTCGGTGATACCCCCCCCCCCCACCCCATAAATAATAACTTGTCCCTTATTCAATCGAGTGAGATGACAACACAATCTTGATATTAAACCTCTATGCTCTACTTTATACCATTTCTCGCTAATGCATGAAAATAATTATCCTGTGTGATAATGTGAGTTTAGTTAAGTCTCTCTAAGTTAAGCATGGTTAGATCATGCAGCCTACAGGGTAGTACTTGTTCTTGAATGTGGAGATCATGCAGAGGTAGTACATTTTCTTGAATGTGGGTTATCTAAAAGTGATCTGATGTTGTGCAGAACTCGTGTGAGTAGAATTAAGTCTCTCTGAGTAACTATGGTTAGATCATTCAAATAAAGTTAGATCTCGCGAACAGGGGTAGATGTCGTTAAGGACCGGGCAGCCGTTGGAAAAGATCTATCGACTGTCGAAAACATTCGTGAAAATATCGAGGAACCATTAAAGGATGGGAATGTGCAGTCTGGTCTCGGTTGTATACGTTATTGTGCGCCCTCTTGTCATTTTGCTTGTTGTCAGACTGTGCTATGGGCAGATCAAAGGCGTGTTGTTGTTGTTGTTGTTGTTGTTGTTGTTGTTGTTGTTGTTGTTGTTGTTGTTGTTGTTGTTGTTGTTGTTGTTGTTGTTGTTGTTGTTGTTGTGTTGTGTTGTGTTGTTGTTGTTGTTGTTGTTGTTGTTGTTGTTGTTGTTGTTGTTGTTGTTGTTGTTGTTGTTGTTGTTGTTGTTGTTGTTGTTGTTGTTGTTGTTGTTGTTGTTGCAACTTTTCGTCGTAACCGATTGATTAACAATGCACTCGGTCAAGGTCCTACAAACACGCGTTAACGATTTGGAGAAGCAATGTGCTGAATCTGAAGCGGCAACTGAAAGTCTTCGTCAATATTCTCGCCGAGACACGCTTGAGATTCATGGCATACCACTTATCGAAGGAGAAATTACTAATGCCATTGTAGTCGAAGTTGCTAAATTGGCCGTTCCGGATCGTGATTTTAGCGAAGCAATGCTGTCAACAAGCCATCGCCTACCCACCAGAAGCGGAAATATACCACCTATAATTGCTAAATTTATTCAACGTGATGTACGTGATGTGGTTTATAGAAACCGGAAAAAATCAACTGAAAATCTTGGTTACGAAACTCACAATAACATTTATATTAACGAGAGCTTAACTGTTAAAAGTCGTGCTATATTCACTGAAGCTAAGAAATTTCAAAATGAGCGTAACTTTAAATTCATCTGGACTAAAAATGGTCATGTACATCTCAAGAAGAATGATAGTCAAACCTCAAGATCCAATGTATTTAAATCAATGCAGGAATTTAAAGACTTTGAACGTGGTTTCCATTGTCAGCGTGATCAACGCAGTCCCATCTCATGAACGAACGCAATCAACATTCTCTGGCCCAGCTAAGTGTTATTGATAACCTTTTTATCTTTGATATCTTTCGATTGTCCTAATAGTGTTTTTCCCTTTTACACTCTTGACGATGATGGCTTTGAATTAGAAATGTATCAAATGCAACATGGTCGAGTGAATTTTGATGACGAAAGGTTATTGAGTTTAAAACGAAACCCCTTGCATCGTAATATTTACAAGAATTTAACTCTATCTTCTAACTTAGATCTGGACTCCAACTTTCGTAATGAAAAATTTAATTGCGATTTTTTTAATGAATGTAGTTTAAATAACTTACTGCTTAACTCATCTCAAAATACTAACCACTTATCTTTCATGCATTTGAATATTCGTAGTTTAAACTGTAATCTAAATAGTCTGCAGAACTTGCTCGCAAGAATAAATAATTCGTTTTCGGTCATTGGAATTTCCGAAACCTGGCTTCAGAATTCACTCCACCAGGTTGACATTAATGGGTATAACTTTGAACACAACTATCGTTCCAACAGAACCGGAGGTGGGGTTAGGATGTTATATCGCATCTACACTTGATTACAAAATTCGTTATGATTTGTGCTTTGAAAATACCGAAATTGCTGAATCGTTATTCATTGAGATTGCAAATCCCAAGGGTAAGAATTATGTTGTGGGAGTGATATATACAGTAGACCGCCCCACCAAAGTGTTGCTAATTTTATTAACGGGCTAAATATACTGATCGATAAAGTCTCCAGAGATAACAAAAAAGTTATATCATGAGTGACTTTAACTTAGATGTATTAAATCAAAGTTTCCACCAGTTCACTAATGAGTTTCTTGACATAATGTATGCTAATATGTTTTTTCCTGCCGTAACGCTTCTCACCAGAATAACCTCACACTCCGCTACGCTTATTGACAATATATTTTTTTATTTTTCTAACGATATTGATCAATATGTTTTTAGTGGTTTACTTTTATCTGACATATCCAATCACTTACCTATCTTTCTTATTTCCAATGATAACGAACCACTGACTGATGAAGCTTCATATACCGTTTTTCGTGACAAAAGCGAAAAAAATAGAAACGAATTCCGCAATCGTTTACACGACAGTAATTGGTATGATCTCTAAAATATTCATGAGCCAAAAAAGGCCTACTCCAGTTTTTTGAATATTCTTACTAATCTTTACAATTTCTGTTTTTCACTCAAAAAGATAAAAAATAAAAGGTCAACAGTTTTAAACCTTGGCTTTCCAACGGCCTTTTAAAATCAATAAGAAAAAAGAACCAGTTGTACAAGCGTTATTTAAACTCTCCAACTGCTGACAACACGGATAGATACAAAAGATTTAAGAACAAATTAAATAATTTATTACGCATCGCGAAATGCCATTACTACGAGGATCTCATCGAGCATAATAACTCCAACTGTAAAAAAACTAGAGCATCTTGAATGAAGTAATCAACAAAAACAAACGACGGAATAGCAGGCTTCCATCCACATTTGTAATTAATGATAACGACTGCTGTGACTCTCCCACAATTGCTGATCATTTTTGCGATTATTTCTCCAATCCATATATAAGCCCCCAATTTATCCAAAAAATTACCTATTGTACCGGTCTCGCACACTTCTTTCCTCACTGGTAATTTCACAAATACTATTTTCTTCGAGCCGACTACAGAACAAGAGATAACTGCCGTAGTCAAATCTTTCAGAAATGGTGTTGCCACTGGATATGATAATTTACCTATCAACACTATTAAAGACTGCATAGACTTAATATCCATTCCTTTAACCCACCTTATCAACTTGTCGATGTCATCCGGCTTTTTTCCTGATCAACTGAAAATCGCTCGATTTGTTCCAATTTTTAAAACTGGTGATCGACAAGTATTTTCAAATTACCGACCAATATCAATCCTGCCAATTTTCTCGAAAGTCTTTCAAAAAATTGTTTCTATTCGTTTAATTAACTACTTGGACAGGCTCCATATTCTCGTTGACAATCAGTTTGGTTTTCGAAGCGGTCATTCAACTTCTTTAGCCTTGTTGCAACTATACAATAAAATTTCATCCGCTATTGACCTCAATGAATTTACAATTGGCATCTTCTTAGATCTATCCAAAGCCTTCGACACCGTTAACCATAGTATCTTGTTTGATAAACTACAGCATTATGGAATTCGTGGAGTAGTACTTGATTGGTTTAAAAGTTCCTTTAGTAAGGGGCGGACCATTTGATTTTTGAGGGGGGGGGGGTGGAAGATTCAGTCTGTGCAAGAATTTTTTTTCCGCCCTGGCGAACGAGACAGATTTTTTTTTTCTGTAAAAGTGCAGCGCAAGATATTTTTTCCCCAATATATTTGGCCGCAGGATATTTTTTTTGCCTCTCATAATAACGGCTTACAGTAACTTTAGGCTTTCATATAGCTATCATCGGAGACGTAGCAGGGGTTTTCAGTCAGAGGAGGCCGAGAACTGAATCCCAAGAGGATAACTGCACCAAAACCTAAAACATGCAGGGATAGAGTAGAGTACTCGAAAATGGGGGAGGGTACAGTATATGAATGACCTGTAACCTTGGGGGGTTCGGGGGCATGCTCCCCCGAGAAAATTTTAAAATTTGAACCTCGGAAATGCCCAGTATGGAATCCGTCAATATATTACGCCGGAGGTTACGCCAAGTGGACACCGACTAATTACGCCACATTCGGAAATATTTTCGATTTTTATAATCGCCGCAAAATATCACCGGACCAGTCGGTATGAAGAGTACCATTTCAAATAAATATCCAAAAAGCTCAAGACCTTAAAATATTACAATCGAGATGTATTGTACAAAGCATTAACTACAGCAGCATTACGCAAACACGGTCTTTACTTCGATCTTACACCTCTTGAATTATATTCATTTTTATACAAACTTCAAGAGTATATGAAGTAGAGGCTATGTGTATATTACGGTACGTACCACTATCAGAATTAATAAGTATGGAAACTGTCTTTAAATTTCTTCAATGACTAACCACTAACAACCAAAATTAGGACAACATCAACAATTAGCCATTTCCCAATCGGGCAGAGGACTGAGTCTAGTTGATGTTTGAAGGGACGTTTGGACGGACAACATGTCAACAAGTTATAGTGAGCGAGCTAAATATTATATTAAAAGATGCCTAATTATCATAATTGTTGCGTTTCAGGCTGCAATAAATAACTTTAGGAATGTAGGAAAACTTCAAACAAACCAAACAAGCCACTAGACCCAGTCCTCTGCTCGAGGCTTTTCAGTGACTGGTTACATTATGAATAGATAGATAGAACCGGACTGACGTGAAGTAGACTTTGAGCTTACAAATGGCGCTTGAGCAGCTGCCGCTATTAGTCCATACCTCATTAATGATCTGCCTCCAGACCTATGTGCCTAACCCAACCTGTCAACTTTCCCTGTGGGAGGAATCACGGAGTGCCCGGAGAAAACCCACGACTTTCGGCATAGCGTTGACTTTTACTCTTTTCACATGAGGACTGGGTTCGAGTCACATTGAGAAGTTCTCATTGAGATTCGAACCTGCGACCTTAGAGGTGAAAGGCAAGTGCACTAACCACTTGGCCACCGAAGCCCCATAATATCAATTAACAATTATCACAAGACACAAATTCTTTTATCACAATCCGTATTATTCTTTCGAATGGAATAAATAAAAAATATATTCACATATATTCAAAAAGCTATTATAGTTAATCAACACGAATAATTACCGTTTTGGAACTCCATTCTATAGACGATAGGAGACAATTTACACCAAGTTCAAGAAAAGCGCGAGCTTCCGTATCATCAAGAATGGAAAAATCACAAAGGGATTCATTAGCAATCCCATCATTTTGCCCATAATTATCAGGGAGAACATTGAACCATTGCTTCGTGATATCACGGTACTTTTTCTCCCAAATAATCGATTTAAGAGCTTGTTTGACGTTGCGGTGCACAATGTGACTAAGTTCCCCTTTGAACAATCCATATAAATTCTTGATGTGAGGAAGACTGCAAATATAGGTCCAGAAGAACAGGAATTCTTGCTTTCCATAGTTTTCAAACTTTACCTCATCAACGACAACGGCAGTTAGATTTTTGTGACCGCAACACAATGAAATTAGCTCGTCAAGGTCAACTGCTACAATTTGCTTCTGCATACGTTTAACAGATTTACCAGAAAATCGAAGATCCATTGACTTAATCATTGCGACACGAAAAACCTCCAAGTCCACTCGGCAGACCTTAAGATCTCGAGCACGCCATTTAGTTGTTGTAGTTTTCTTCCCATCAGACATTTCTTCAAAGACATTCTTCTCAAATTTGAGCCATCCAGGTACAACTTTTGTTCCCTTAAATTTCCCTTTCTTGATATCTCTTATATTATTTGATGTCAATGGAAGGTCAGGAGAATCAAATGAAATTGGAATACATTTCTGGATACGTTGTCTGACTTTTGACCACCAAAGGCAGATTTTCCACGATGGGACGGACAAACATTGAAGACTGACTAGTAAGTCGACCATTGGACACATAAGATCTGTCAAAGCAAGAAGATCCACCACAAAGTCTTTTCCTGTGATTTCGTACTCGTCATCCTCATCGTAGCCATACTTTCTGAATGTATCGATATACAGAAGAAGGCTCTCAGAGAGTTTGAGGAACTCACTGTACTGCGACGTACTAAACCTGGTTCCACACGTACGGGACAGAACTTTAAATTTAACATTTTTACCGTAGCCGTTATGGTTGGCAACAGACTTAACTTGTTGAAACATTTTTCCACGGTTAAACTTCGTGTGGAGCTTCATTGTTCTCTTGATAATTCAGTTGAGATGTGAAAAAGCATATATCCTCACTGATTTTTCCATCTTTGACATCCTCATGGCCAGATCAATCCAGTGTGGAGGATCCCAAATTACGACATCAAATGTGTCATCAGTGCGTGCTAAGGCTGAA